GGGTAGATGAGGGAAATGATGGAGGAAATTGAACTAAAATCTTACCCCTCAAATTGACGGGTAAAAAAAAGTAAGGAAAGAAAGGTGAAATTTTTTACTTCTTTCCCGCGGGCTTTTTGGACACCCCTACTCTTAGGGGGTGTTTGGTTCAATTTCTACAAATTATAGAAAATGTTTTTCACCCAAAATATGATTTACTTGTATTTCTTAAAAAAATTATTGGAAAAGTTTTAAGAAGTCAAAAAGTACCAATTTTTCTTATTTTTTTTCTTTGCTTGTTTTTGGTTCAAAACAAGAAAATGACCCATAATTTTATAGAAAATAGCAAGATTTCCTATAATTTGTAGAAACTGAACCAAACACCCCCTAAATTTATAGAAAGTGTCAACTTTATAGAAAAGTGTCAATGTGGCGTCAGATTTCTAGGTGATTTCCATCCATTTTGAGAGGAAATTGATTTCTGTAAATTTTGGTACTTTTTTTGTACTTTATAGAAAATATTTCTGTAAATTTTTTTGAACCAAACATAGTTTACGGAAATCTACAGAAAATATTTAATTACAGAATTACTATTGTCAAACATATTGAGAAAACTTTTCTATAAAATTATGCAACCAAACACCCCCTAATTAGTCATCTACCAAACACACGATAAGAGAGAGAGAGAGAGAGAGAGAGAGAGAGAGAGAGAGAGAGAGAGAGCCCTTGCATCCTCTCTCATTGGCCTAACCTCCAACTAACCAAAACCTTAGCGAAGTGTCAAAAGTGCACATGAAAGTCCAGACTAAAACTAGACTCAAATTCCTTTCCATTCATCCCACCTCCACGCATCAAAAGCTTTGCTTTATAAATTAGTGGGCGGAGTACTCGTTCACGGCTGCCCTCAGTCCATTCACGGGAAGAAAAGGGCGGCTTTTGAACACCCCCCTCCTCTAATTTATATAAGACACTCCTCGACCTCCCATTCACTGCTTTATATTCTCCCTCACTCATGCCACCCTCCCTCCTTCTGCCTCTGCTATGGAGCGTTACCGCAGACGACGCGACGGTCTCCTATAGCGCAGCAGCACGAAGAGTACCGTATCCGTACCCTACCCGTACACCTAGCACCAGTCCGTCACTAAAAACGTAAACGCGACGCGTACGTCGGCGGCCACTCCTCCTATCTCCGCCGCATCATCTGCCGCCTCAGCTATATGACGAGACCTCGTCAACGACCGCCACCGAGCGAGGAGGACATGGCCCCAGCTGCCCTGATCCTCCTCGCTCGGTGGCCGCCGCTCTCCTCCCCCTCCCCTTCTCCGGACCGCGGAGGCAAGCCGTCCGCCCCGCCGGGCTCTACGATGGCTGCAAGACGATGCCAACAAGTGCTTCACCTCCTTTCCGAGGCCCTCGGCGGCCACCGGCCAGCCACAAGAAGCTCCAGACAGCCGGCCCGTTAGGAAGCCCATCGAAGCCCAAGACCAACAGCCTATAAGCACCGACCAACGACGTCATTAGTATCGTCGAGCAAGCCGCCTATTAATTACAATTGAAGCACAGGGTAAAATGAAAATCCACGAGTGCTCGACATGTGGGGCCGAGTTTTCTCTATCCGGCCAAGCTCTCGGCGGCCACATGAGAGGCGGCTCACCGGACGCCCGTTCGTAGGCGGCGCCGCCGGAAGTCGCGCGAGACGGCGAATAAAAGGGAGGAACTGTTCTACCTGCTTGGATCTTAACCTCCGCCGGCCTTCGCACGGGATTCGATGTCGCGGTGGCGTTCACTTTTGTGAGAGGCAGGCCGCCGTTGGCGTTCTCTACGGCGCCGGCGCTTGTGGATTGCTATTACTGAATGAATTTTTCTTTTTAATTATGTTTGTAAATTTTTTTTCCATATGGGGGTTCATGTGAATTATGATTATACGCTTACCATTTATTATTTCGTGAATGATGAAATGAAATTATTATTTTTTTATTCTTTCCAAGTTAGAGAGAGGTCCAACTATTCACACTCCCAAACAGTAACTTTGAGGGTGTGTGAGGACTAAATTGCCCTTCTCCCAAACCAAAACAGACCAAGTCCATTCTAGAAACACCCTCAACATCAAAAGGGCATTTTCGGCAATTCTCCCAAACCAAAACAGACCAAGTCCATTCTAGAAACACCCTCAACATCAAAAGGGCATTTTCGGCAATCCAACTCCCAAAATTACTGTTTGGATCAAAAGGGCATTTTCGGCAATCCAACTCCCAAAATTACTGTTTGGGAGTGGATATAGCAAACATGGTTAGAGAGGCGGCATCGCGTTCACGAGAAGGAAGTTTTATACGTATAATTTAGATAGTGAGGAGTCGATTGATTCAATAAAATATGTTTATTATTAATGGAAAAGTTACTGTTTAATAATTAACGCCTATAGGTAAAAAAATACTAAGTTGTTAGAAGTAACTAATAAAAAAAATATTAATAAAAAATTATTTATTTCCTAATTAATATGCATTTCAACTACTTCCGAGCTACTTCCGAGCTACTTCTGAGTATTGAACATTGGAAAAATATTTTAAAAGTAAGGATGACACGTAGACGCTACATAAGCGTTTAGTGAAGTATTGCAAGAAAGTTTTTCAGAAAATCAAATATATTTTTTTTTGCTTGGAAGTAACAGAAGTAACATCTACTTTTTTTACTTCAGCTACTTCATAATTACTTCCATGCAAAAATACATATCCTAAACACAGGGGGGATAAAAAAAAAGGAAACAAAAGAGGCAAGTAGGCAAATAAGGCTAGCTGCCCATCAACGAGACATTCATTTGTATTCGCTTTTTAGTCAACTCATATCTCTCACAGAGAAGTGTGTGCCCCACTTCCACTTCTATTGGTGCAGCTTTGCTTACCTGCCATGTGTTTTTACGCCGTAATTTACTCTCTAATTTCATAATTAGTAAACCTAATTATAAAAGCTTAATTTTCTCCAATCTCATAAATTTTTTCTTCAGAATATTCATTTTAAATTTATAAAAGCTTAATTTTATTCATAAAAAGCTTTTTCTTAAAGGAAAAAAAAACTTCAAAACGTCAATGTGGGCTTGGGGGATTAACCCAACCCCATCCCTGAGTGGTCCACCACCATCAAAATTACTAAGGCCTAGTTCATTATAATAACCAACAAATGGAGCAAAGGGATGTTCTCATCTCAATAATATATGATATAATCATAAAATACATTAATTAATTATGTATTGTTTCCATGACTTGTTGTGAGGCTAGAGTTCACGAGTTCAAGCGGCACGTCTGAGGAGTGAAGTGAGCTTGAGAGAACAATACATGCAAGTGTGAATTTTTAGTCACATGGCATTGTGGGACCCATGGCCGGCTACCCTCCCTTATCATTGCCATTATATATATAATAAATTGCAAATTAAACTAGCTTTACGAATCTTAAACCCTCTAATCTAGCTGTCTGTACAAGCTCATGACATTTGTCTACAAAGTGCGGAACATAAAGGGGGGATATCTTTATATTAACCAAAAAAAAATAAAAATTTTAGAAAATTTTATTGAAGTTTGTGGGAGTTGTTAAGTGCTTGGTTTAGTTTAGTGGAATGGCTCTTCCTCTAGCCTTTATTTAGATTTGTTGGCATATTAATGGACATCATAAAATTGCACATGTTCCTGTGCCCACTTCAAACTGATACTATTTGTGTGGATTTTAATTTGGGTTTTTCTGATATCATCTTAAAAATGTCATCTAACTGCACTGTAAGTTCGAAGTTGAGATGGCGAGATCTACATTTAACAAACCAGGAAAAACTCTCCATTGATGTTGGTTTATGAATTTTAGACCAGACTACTTGTTGCCGAATTTTGGTTTACGAAACTATTTGCAGTTTTGAGTGTTCACATTGGCAAAAGATGATTAGGAATGACTGAGGTGGATTAATTAGGATGCTAATGCCACAATTCGCTGGGATTAGACGGGTCAATGGTTTTTATGATGTTAGCTTATATTTTCTGTGTAGAATGGTTAGTTTGTTGATAGATTATTAGGGTTTTAAGTTCAAATTTGGTTGCTATGAGTTGGTTGGTGATGATGACCAGTTATACATTTATTCAATTTTTTTGAGTTGGCTAAGTTTAGAGGCAGAGTATGCTTTAGTGAACATGGATTATGACCAAATTCTTCAGCCACGTGCTTGGGACCTGGGCTTAGGGGTCATTTCATTTGTTGGAAAAATAAAGAGCTTTTTGCATGTATATATACCCCTCAAATCTTTTATATTTGCGAATTTACTTCCAATCATTGGTATTTGCAAAATTAACCCTCCATTGATGTTTCTATTAACCTTTTATCTTTAAAAAGTTATTTGCATATATATAGCCATAAATCATGGATATTTGCAAAACTACTCACCAAATCTGAGTGTTTGCATAACTACCTCTCATATCATCAATTTTGAAAGAAAATTACCGTCAAAGTAATTATCATCATCTTTAATAAGCTAATTTATTAATTGTAATGTAAAAACTATCAACAAAATAGTTAAATTTTTATCACCATCATCAAGTTGATAATTTGTAGATTTAAGGGGTATTCTTTTCTCCAAATTGATGATGCGAGAGGTAGTTTTGCAAATACTAACATTTGGGGTTATGTTTTTCAAATACCCATAATGTAAGGGATATATATATGCAAATAACCCATCTTTAGAACTCAAAAGGTTAACTTAACCTTTTGAATTGAATAATCCAAGGATAACCTTCAACCAAATGAGACCAAGTCACAAATTATGACAAATAACCAACAATTGATGCTCACAGCAGATTTAACTCTATCAAATATAAAACCCCCTGATCATTTTAATTTTTCAGGCACACCTGCTGCCTAAAACAAGAGCAGGGCCAAAATAGTTTGAGTTTGAGGAGTTAAAAAGCAACTAAAGACAATCCAAATCGCATCAATTTTTGGTGTCGCCTTAATCTGATGCATTTCTAAATGCCACAAACAAAAGATGCAAATACCAAAAGCTGGCAAAGACACAGGAATCTGATTCCTCCAGCGCAGCCATTAATTGCTACAAGAGTAGAGTATCATATGAATACTCAAATTGGCCAATAACACCACTATGTAGTATCACATGAATCCTCAATTTGGGCAATTACAATGAGGTCATTTTATTACCAGTACAAATACATGAATCGTGTTCAACAAGTAAGCAACTCATCATGAACTCCCCAATCAAATACAGTAATCAAAGAAGACCCTGCTTCCCCATGAAAAGAAGCACGCAACCTCAACCTTACTCCAAGGATGAAGAAGCAGGAGGTTCAGTATGTATTAAATGAGAGCTCATTCAGTTGGGGTCAACCCAACAACACCTGCACATTTCAAGCAAGCAATACATTGAATGACAGTAGGCAGGTTACCTAAAATAATTAGCATAAATAAATTGATGTAAAGTCCTCAACATAAACTGTTAACATTATAGTTGTAGAAGTTTTAACATGAGGATTCTTATTTTATTTCCCATACGGCACTCTGTAAACATGCACGTCCCTTGGCAAAACTCAACTCGCACATTCGGAAGACCAAATAAACGATATTTGATATAAACATAACAAATGGGTAATGTATAAATATGAATACTCAGTCAAACCACTTCTGAGAATTTTTTTCCCCTAAGACTTCATGTCTTGTTCAAAATCATAATTTTGAATCGTCAAAGGCCTGAATAATATTCAGATTAAATATTTACCAATAGATCCTTTATGCTTTAACAAAGAGTAATTAATCATTGGATTATGAATAAGACTTCATGAGGAATTTTCAAGCTTGCTGAAAAATGATAAAAATTGGGGAAACTGGTGCAAGACTACGAACTTACAAAGGGTTACGGTCAAATATAACATCTTTAATGGTAATGTTAGAAAGAGATGGAGAAAGGCAACCAAAAAATAAAGTGCTGTTGAGAAAGGGAAAACAAAATATTTGCTCACCGCAAGCTAATCTTCCCCCTGCATTCCCAGTGCTGAGGCTGAGTTCATGTCCTCCTGTAAAGTCAGATAAACATGATATGTAAGCCACACCCAAATGATGTAAGCAACTTAAAAACAACGTCAAGAGGTTAAGTTCAAATTAATTTAAGCTATTTGAAAAACTTGTGAACACAAAGCTTACCTTTTCCGAGATCATCCTCTAACTCATGAACCACAAATGCTCTTCCAACAACTGCATTGGGCCCGCTTAATGGAATCTAAGGATTCAAATTCAAGGAAGAAGAGTGCGAGAATACATTCCGCAATGAAAATAGTGTAATCATGAGACATAAGTTCAAGATAAGAGAAAAACCCATTATTAACAAGATAGTTTCTGATGGGTCAAACGTACCTGGCTATCCACGATTGTTGCCTCTGCAACTCCTGTGTCATAAAAGCAACAGAGAAGGCATTAGGGTTTTTGCAATTCCTTAAAAGATGAAATATTTTAAAGATAGTTTAAATGATACCCTCAGAGTTGGCAACAATGTTTCCCAGGTCACCCGCATGACGGATTTCATCTTCAGGAGCACCATGTGTCATCCCATTTGGGTTGAAATGTGGCCCTGTGAAAAACAGTACATTTCTCATGACGAAATAATTTTAGCTATTAATAGACAAAGCAAGGTCCATCTGAAGTTGTTATATAAATCTTGATCGCAACACCTCAAGTTTCATATACCACAAGAAGAATATTCACAAGATCAGCGTAATACAGAAAAATGACCCCGAAAAAGAGAATTTCAGGTGGCTTAGATAGGTTTAAAGTGTAAACTACATATATCTAATTTAGGATAAATCAGCAAAAAATGTTTGTCCTAACCTGTAGATATGCAGCCATTGGTAGTATCACCAAACTCATGCTGTAAAAAATAAAATAAAATAAAATAAATTAAAGAAACATAGATTGCTTAGAATAAGCATAAAATAATAGATGGATGAATAATAAACTCACAAGATGGAATCCATGAAGTCCTGGTGTAAGTCCAGTGACACGAACTTTCACTGTTGTTGGACCTGATAAAAGAGAGAAGTACTTGAGAATCAGAGATATACACTCAGGACATTTCGTAGATCATTTATGGAAGAAGGAAGAGTCAAAACTTGTTCATGTGGAGAGATAAAAGGTAAGATAAGATAACAGAATCGAGTGAGCAGTACTAAATTGCAGACATTACCAACACTCTATGAGAAAAACAGAAAGAACTTATTCCCCGTCTTTTCCTCCTAACAATGGTTCATTCTTTGACTTCTTTTCCCTAGTCTAAGTGTACTTTAGCTAAACACCATCAAAAACATATGATACGAAGTCTGTAGCCAAGCATTTGTTGTACATATATCTAAATCTATTGAAGGAATTGCGTTAAAGCTGCATTAGTGCACCTCTTATTATATGTGCAAGCACACAAATTTTAATCTCGAATGCATATTCAAAACTTACCAGATGCTTAACACGCAATATGTATCCATGTTATTGCGTAACTCTTTATTAACAAGTGAGAAAATAGTAGATGAGGTAGCCACAAAAATGAGGCCATGCTCCGCATAAGAAAGTGAACCACATTAAAATCCTGATAGAAAGATAAAAACGAATATAATTATGAAACCATGCTAACACTTGATAGTTAATAAAAACCAAACCTTTTCATCCGCAATAAAACTCCCGCAAAAATCATCTTTTTTCTTGCTGCTCGCTAGCATTGCTGCATCAATGTCGTGTCCCGAAAAAAATCATCCACTACTTTTATATCCCCACTGTGGCGTATCTATCAATTTAATGATTCATACACTGCTATGCTACTTGTCTTCTACTTGGCTAACCTAACCCCCCAAACTGAGCTTAATACAATGAACAAAATAAAATTTCAGGGTCATATTAATTACTAAGGAGGGGGGCGAAAAAAGGTGTATGATAAGTAGACCACACACTATTATTCGTGTCCTTTCTCGTGAACTTCTATCGTAAAATATGAATCTTTAACCCCCAATCCCCAGCATTCGATAGCTACACTACCTCCATCAGGTCAGACGCAATCAAATACGGATCAAAATCCAAACTTTGACGAAAAGAATGAGCTAGAACGGCAAAAAAGAAACAAACCATCATCCTCCTGAAGGAGAGGTTGACCACGCCCTCGACCTGGAGTTGCCCTTGAGCACAGCCACGGCCTTCTTCGTGGCGGCGACCACGGTCAGCGCGCCCTCGCCGCCGGCTCGGCGCGCGACCGGGAGGTTCGACGAGAAATTGATGGGTTTTCCGAACCGAGAAACGAGGACTGGAATGGCGCAGCAGAGGAAGGAGGGACGAGGTTCGAGGCGGTGGAGAGGAGGAGGGCGATGACGAACTGGGCGGCCATTGCGGCGGCGGACCACCGCTTGCATTGAAGTTCGCGGAGATTTGAGGACGAGGGTTTTGATGATGATAAGGTTAGGGTTTTTGTGGAGATTTTGTGCTCTTGAAGGTTCTCAAGGGTCAGCTCCACCCGCAAGTACACGTGCGCGCGTGTTTTATTTACGGGGTTTTATTTGCCGATGTACCCCCTGGACTTTATCATATTTGTAGACTTACCTTTCAAGGGACTGAAGGGAGCATAATTTGATAAATCTACCCCCCGCCCGTAAGATTCACAAGTCATAGGGGCTAAATTGCCAAATAGTAAGGAAAGTTTGCAAAGTTTGGATTCTAATCCAAAAATACAAATGGAAATTAATCTGAAGTGTTTGGTAAATTTAGTGGATTATAATCTCCGTAGTAGAGTGTTTGGCAAATAAGTGAATTATAATCCATCATTGTTGTTAAAAATAGCGTGTCTTAAAATTTTTTTGAAAATGGAGCTTGGAAATTGTGGAATGGTGAGGGGTGAACGTGTCTTCTGTTTGGTCAACCCCCTATGATGGCTTAATAATCCATTAAGAAAAAGTTGAGTACCCTGTGGTCCCTACCTTATTTTTTGACGGATTATAATGCAAAATAAAATCACTTGCGAAATGCCTCAAAATGGATTAAAATATACTTTTATGGCTTATAAGTCATTTTGTTTACTTGCCAAACATGCTCACGGATCTGAAGGTATTTATGCAAATGGAGTAGACTTGGAGGGTCATATGAGCAAAAGAAATCCCAATTTCCCAAGAGAGTCAAAGGAAATATAGGGGTAAATTAATAACCAGGTTTGAAGGTATCTGCAAATTGGGCAGATCATGTGGGTATGTAAGCAAAAATAACTCTTTATAAATTTGCTTGGCCTGGGCTTGGGACTAGAAACCTTTAATTTCACACTATCTTAAATTCAAGCCAATAAAGCCCAATGTGTTGTTCCTTTAAACCCATATTGTATTGGGCCTGATAAAGCCCAATACTGTCTACGATTTTTACTCTCGTTCATTTGGGACCTTTTAGTCTAATCTCTACTTTACACCTACTTCTTTTGGATCTTCTAAAGCCCACAATTGGGTAAAGTACAAGACCTCTCCTTAACCAGTTGTACAGAAAAAAAAAACTATGTAAGAGATAAGCGACCTAACCTTTTATAATTTGTCAAATGCAAAAAAATATATAAGGGTTAAGCTGACCTCTTTGGAAGGATTAAAATGAGTCAACTCATCAAAATGAGGCGTTTACTAATACTTCTATTTAGAAGAATTAAGAGTTAATCTCTCTATTTATTAAAAAATATAGCCAAAATCCTCATTATTTACGAACATTAAAACTGATCATAAGGACTAAAAATAAAACTTATTTAACGGGTTAATAATTTAGTCTTTCGGCTTATCAAATGAGCTAACTATGTTAATCATTCTTCTTAATCCCTCTTCGTTAACCCTTTGCCAAACAGGAAGACACACTCCCTCCCCAATAGCTTTTTACAGAAAAACGCCCAGTAACTTTTGCAGAAAACCCCAAAAAACTTTTGGATAAATTACACTAAAACCCCCAATAACTTTCAAAATGCCTTTTATGTTGTTTTGGGTTCTAATTTATGGGGGTTATCTGCAAAAATGTAGAAAATTATTAGGGGTTTTCTGAAAAATGCAGAAAATATGGGGTTTTAGTGCGAATTTTAAAGTTATTGCAAGTTTACTAAAAAATGAAAGTTCTTGGGGGTTTAGAGTAATTACCCTCCACAATTTGCACCCTGGAAATGCTAATGAATTCAAGATAATGTCCTAAAACCATAAGGATGATGCTCTTGTTAATATAGTGCATGGAAACCTATCCTACAAACTATATCATATAGTAGTCATCTCCATAATGCTATCCCAGATTCATATTAGGCTTAATTTTACTAAAATGCCCTGTAGTTTCCCCGATCTTACACTCAAATGCTCTATGGTTTCAAACGAAAACAAAAAAAAAACCCTCAAAGTATTAAATTGTTTCCGATGAATGCGCTATAGTTGAAAAAAAAACAAATGTTGTTATCTTTTCGTTACGTCACATAACAGATGGTACTAAAGTGAAACTCTTAGAAACTTGAGGGTGTTTAAGTGAGGCCATTTATAAATTTGGGGGCATTTATATGCAACACTGGGTACCAGCATGCAATATTTTAAAACTTTGGGGCATCTATGTGCAATTAAGCCTTCGTATTATTGTTACCCTCTTGTAGCCAACTTTTTTATTAGTTAATTTGAGTTGCTGATCTGGTTGTTCTTGCTAACCTTGATCCTTCACACTCTTTGCGGCTATTGTTTGATTTCTAAATTCCTAAATTCCTTTTACTGTGAAAACGGCGAAGGAATTGTGAAAAACGTGAAGAATAACTCAAAACAGGCTCCACCACACCCTGGTGTGGTGTCTGCCATGGGTGTGGTAGAGTCTGTCCTGCACCACACCCTCTGCCACACCCACGGTGCAGGGTGTGGCAGAATCTGTCCTGCACCACTCCTGCACCACACCCTCTGCCACACCCATGGTGCAGGGTGTGGCAGACTCGTTTTTAGAATCCCAATCAGTTTGGGATTGTGTTTTCCCTCTGCCACACCCATGGTGCAGGGTGTGGCAGACTCGTTTTTAGAATCCTTATTTGTTGAGGAATCCTCCTTTGTTTGGGATTGTGTTTTATTATAAATAGGACCACGTTTTTTAGGGTTTCTAAAGGAGAGAAAAGAAGAGATTTAGCATTGTTTTGAGCACTTTGAGAGGGAGATATTGTGAGGGAGTTGAGAGCTTTGGTTAGGGTTATATTTGAGTGATTTTGTGAGTTGTAACCCGTTGTATTTCTCCTCCATATAGTGAAATCTCCCCATCCTCTCCCCGTGGACGTAGGCAATTGCCGAACCACGTATATCCTTGTGTTTGGTTTGATTTGTCGTAATTGGCTTGGTTTGTGCAAGTGTTTGGCTTTCTTCTACTCGTGATCACAGGTTCGTTGTGAGTTCGTGCAAGGCTTCCGCAAAGACGCGCGACAACCAAACACTATAAATTAAGTAGAATAAATATAATGGAATCTGGATATTATTCAAGATAATAATGATCAAACAAAACCAAGTTTCAAATTTCTCAAGTATGAAAAATATGAATGTCAAGAAAAAAATGCCAAATCTACTGTTAATTAGTAATAATAAGAAGATAAGAACATATATCTCAATGGGAAAAACTCCAGCAACTTTTAGAATGTCAGGCTAGACTTTGAATCCTCTTATTCATCAAATTACTTGCAAGGAACCTACTCAAAGGGCATGATCTCTAAGTGACATCCGCACAACAAGCTCTTGCTGCTCCACGAGCAGCGCCTTCTTCTTGTTTTCGGGAGAGCATATTTGATTCCTAAGACAGCTACTCAACCGGTTGGTATTGGGTCGCCGACGTCCTAGGTTCAAGTGCCGTCTATGGACTTTGTACCAAAAAAACATAGTATCCGGAGGTTTGCACCCGTGAATGCATACGACACGTGTCTGCATATATGTCTATATTTCTACGGACCAGCGCGCGAGTGTTTG